GGCATCCTGAAACACCTTCACAGACTCACCCAGAAATAATGTTTCACCAAATATGTGGGCATCCCATAGTCTAGTCAAGTTGACACATTAAAATTAACTATCACCATGACACATTTTAATCCTTAAATCAGCATGCTGTTCTCTAAACCTTTCTAATAGCTCCATGATCCTTATAAGATGTTAAAACTAACACTGGCCACAGCATGTAATGACAGCTGGACCTGGCACAGAAGTAGGAAAGATTGCTTTCCAGCCTTGAAAAGGTAGCAAGATCCCTATTAACACAACCTGCCAGCAGAATGTGATGAAGTCGTGAGCATGGAGAGAAAAACAGTCCTTGCTCCCTGTCCCAGCCTATCATAGAAATTGTCCATTAGTCTTCTTTCAAATCTCTACAAACATGAGTATTTCCCTTTAAATCTAGAGGGCCCCAAGAGACCTCTGTGTTTCAGAACTGGACCTAGGATTTGATTTGGGTGCTATTGATGATAACAGCAATGATACCACAGCTGCTCTTTATTAAATGCCTCCTGAATGCTAGGCATTTTACAGAACTATCTCAGGGCCTCTGTCATGTTGCATAGTTGATATTTAATACGTCACTCTCATAGATGAGAAAAGGGACTCAGACAGGTAAGTAACTTACCCTGGGCAAGTGATGGTTCTAGGGTTCACATCCAGTTCACCTTCGAAGTCTGTTCTATTTTTCCTGCTTCCACAGTCCCAGACTTGGCCAAGTAGGGGCAAATTCATTAAGTGATCTAGGTTTAGCTGGTACTGTCAAAACAATCTGGATTACATGGGTTATGATGACAGGTCATATTAGATTTTGGGGAGCTGCTCCAAACTCCAGCCTAGCATCCTAACTGAAGATTTAGTTTCCAGGGCTAAAAATGTCAAATTGATCTTGGCATCATCTGTACCGTCTGACAAAGTGTCTTACACATAATAGGCAATCAAAAGATATTACCTGATTGGTTGACAGATTCATTGAGAGGCTCGTGCAAGCCTGATGTAATGATACTAATTTAACTCCTCTGATTCTACTAAGAATCAGAAAAATCTCCTGATGTTTCATCATCTCTGGGAATTTGCATGATATTGGGGATACTTAGATTTTGGGTCTCACACTGCTAACCTTAGGCTAGTTATTTAACTCTAAACCTTGATTCCCTCCATTTTAAAGAAACAGCTGGAACTGTATGTGTCTCTTTCACCACAAACACTCTCCTGTTAGATGACATAGTGAGGCTCTAACAATTGATTTAGAGTTTGTAAGTTACATGGTGACCATGGTGAAGAAGACAAAGCCAGCATCTCCGGCCACCCACTCCTGGCAGGAGCTTATGTCATTTTAAAATTGGGTTAAGACAGGCTGGGCACAGTGGCTCACACCTGTAATCCCAGCACTTTGGGAGGCCAAGGCAGGAGGATCAATTGAGATCAGGAGTTTGAGACTAGCATGGCCAACATGAGATCCATCTGTACCAAAAATACAAAAAATTAACTGGTCGTGGTGGCACATGCCTGTGGTCCCAGCTACTCAGGAGGCTAAGGTGGGAGGATCACTTGAGCTCGGGAGGTGGAGGTTGCAGTGAGCCAAGACTGTGCCACTGCAGTCCAGCCTGGGTGACAGAGCCAGACCTTGTCTCAAAAAATAATAAAATAAAATAAAATAAATAAAATCTGGTTAAGACTGGTCATAGACCATCAACATGCTGGCAGCTGAGGATTTAAAGAGGATGTCGTTAGGCCGGAGCTGGAAGTGAAGGTGACAGCAGATCAACTCGGGACTGTGCCCATCAGGCAGACGAGAAGGGCATTGTTTCTGCTTCAAAGAATCCAGTTGCTATCGCCACAGATTCCTGCCTTGGGGATTCCACGAGGCCTCTGTTAACTGCTATGGCAGCTTCTTCAAGAAGGGTCTTGACACAGCTCTTCAAGTCCCATCTGGGTCCATTTTCATGCAGTAGGCGGCGTGCCCACTGGGCGGGAGCACAGGCAAACAGACCTGTGTTTACCCTCTGCCTCCAGTGCTCTCTAGCACTGAGATCCAGTTCTTTATTGGAATAATGAGAACAATAATAATAATAGTTTCTTCCACCTAGAGTTATTTTGAGGATAAAATGAGATGATAAATTGTATGTAGATGATAAATCATATGCTTGGCTTAACAGCAAGCCTATAATAATGGGTAGCTATTATTATTCAGTGCTGTGGGATATTCACTACTGGTGCTGCTACCAGAAACAGAGGTTGCACTGAGTGAGGACTCATGACATGGATTCTTCCTTGTCCCTCCAGCCCTTCGATGCATTGACCTATTTGAAAACTGATGCTGAATTCATGAAGTGGGAGGCATCCTATGAGATTAGTTTAGGATCTCAACATCAGAATTATTTTTTTTCCCATTTTCAATGCAGTCAGTAAAGTTTTATAACATACCTACTTTATGCAAACTACTATATTGGGCGTAAAGAATCAAAGAGGAAGATACAGACTGTGCCATTAAAGAGGTTATGGATTATTTAGTTAGTGAATTACTTCTTAAATGAGCACTTGATTCTAGATGCGGTGGGTTAAATTGTGTCCCTCCCTAAAAAAATACATTCTAGCCTCAAGATGTGACTTTATTTGGCAATAAAATCTTTGCAAATTTAACCAGATTATGATGACATTATTAGGATGGTACCTAGTAAGACTGGTGTCCTGATTAAAGGGGGGAAATTTGAACAGACACTCACATAGGAAGAATGCCATGTAAAGACGAAGGATTGGAGTGATGCATGTAAGAACCACGGAAAACCAAAGCTTGCCAGCAAACCACCCAAAACCAGGAAGAGGCAAGTGGCAGTGTTTAGATGGAGAATGGCCCTGCCAACACCTTGATTTCAGACTTTCAGTCTCTAAACTGGGAGGCAATAACATTCTGTTTTTTAGGCCACCTGGTATGTGGTACTTTGTTACGGCAGCCCTAGGAATTTAATACTCTAGGCTGAGGGATAGATATGACTAGTGAAAATAAAATTATATGTGTGCATTGATAATGATATACACAAAGGGGGAGAGAGAGAGATACCCACAATGGAGCATTACTGAGATCTGATGAATGAGGAGAGAAAAGAACTTATACGTGATGTGACATATAAGCTTGGTCTTCTAGTGGCCTTTGCATTAAACCTAAGATGAATGTTGATTTATCATTTCACCTCTGTTTTAGGGTCCCCAAAATGCTCTGGCCAAGAATAGTGTGGTAATGTGCACAATGAAAATCAGAAGTGACACTTGAGCCACTTAAAAACATTCAAAGCATGAATACATTTTCTATTGTTTTACACACTTTTAAGATTTTCAAGTTGTCTGATATTCTCCATTTAGTAAGCTCTGAAGTTGGTCTAAGTTTGGTTGGAATACTTGCATATTTATATTTTCTGGATTTACGTGTCAGGTGACAAAAGGAGACCACACGAAATCCCTGGACTCCCGCGCCCACCCAGAGATTAACCTGGAGAGGTCAGGAGCTCTCCGTAGACTTCAGTGGCCTTGATGTCTGAGTTTTCAGGGACAGGATAAGCCCACATATTATTTTTAAACAAATTTCTTACAACTCAGAAGCTTTCATATCTTACTTTCTTGGTAAGAGTCAAGTTTATTATCCACATCCGTACAAACACAGCTGACTACACAAATTGATCTAGGACAAAAAGTAAGAAACATGGGGCCATAGGATTCTGGGTAAATGTGCTTTCTAACAAAAACTATCATATTTACAGAAAAGTATACAACGTGATGAGAGTCTTCTGCCTTTAGAATTAGCTGACTTTAAAAATTAATTTAACTATGACATGTGACAAGAATTTTATACATCATTGCAAAATTAAAAAGGCACTTTGGAGTGGAAATATTGATTACAGCATATTTTTGATAGAGATAATGGACTTTATTTAAAACACGTTCTATCATTTTCTCCTGTGTTTTCCTTTGAGTCCACAGAGGAAAGTTACTACACAAATTCAGGTTATTTTTATTGACAGTTATGTTATGGTGAAGCTAGATGAATAGAGTTTAAAGTTAAGTATTGTAGGGTATTTCCAGGCCACTTGGCACCTCAAACAGGTAAGCACTTTTTCTCAAAGAAAAGCATGTTGTATTGATCTTGCTTTGCTCCAGCATTTGACAATTATATGAAATTTTAAGCATCTCTTTAGAATTCTCAGTTTTTTGAGGCCAATTTCTATTCAGGTTTTTATGGCTGATCTCTTAGTCAGTCCAAGTATTTCAACTCTCATATGTTTCTTTGGTGTGCATTTTTTCATTTGTTTCTTTAAGCTCATTTCTTAGATCAGTGAGGGTGCGTGTTATTTCTTTTATATCACAAGGCTTTGTCCACAGGGTAGACTCAACTCATGTTACTATGATGGAAATAAAACCTGGAAACTTCATACTGTGGCTCTCTCTGCCAAGGGGAAAGGGTCTTTCCTTCCTTTCTTTGTCTGACACTGCTACAAAAATCCTTGATCTTCATTCTCATGAGATCTATAAACGGCTTACTTTCTATTTTACCCTCTCTTCTCTCCTAAGAAATATGTTTTTCACCACTTTTATTTCTTGCCTTATCATAGAAGTAGAGAAGTGCTTGACTCTTTGTGGAGTCCCATCCAGCCTGCCATGCTAATGAGGTCATTTTCCCTTATTAGCATGTGGGCAGGAAACTAAGGAGCAGAGGATAGAAAGGAGGACTAAAAGAAGAAGTTGTATATGTATTCTGCTCAGTATTTTGAATGTTCAAATAATATTTTCCAAGGAAATAGACAATGAGACTGACAGAATGGGATCCTAGTCTCGGCTATGCCATTTCCTCACTGGTAACCGTGAGTTAGTTGCTTAACGTTTTGGAGCTTTAGCGTCCTCATGTGTAAAATGGGAATAATAGAACACCCTGCTTACCTTGTTGGGTGTGCTAATACAAATGCAAGGTAGAATTAATTTTTTTTTGAATATTCTCACTTTTTAAAATTTCACTCTGTACTTATAGAAAGAACACAGAGTATGGGTGAAGTTCCATCCCAGTGCCAGGGACAGCCCGTAGAGCAGAATCAGAGGTGCAAATGGATACAGAAGAATTACTGTATTTTTCAAAAATGGCAATGCACTGTATCCCAGGAAAGTTACATAGATATAATAGCCAACTGCAACCAACCATAAGGTATTTCCAACTAAATATCCAATAAATGTATTTGTCAGGATAACATGGTTGATGAAAAAAAGCTGGATAAAATGCAAAATGACCAGGAGTGGATAAAAAGCATTGAGATGCACATCAAAAGCATAGCCCCATTCCACATCATAGTCTCTGCTCTGTCGTTTCACTAAATACTTGTTAGAGATGAACCATATTAAAGTTGCTATCAGAAGACCAACGCCTACGCAATCTATGAATACAACCCAAAGGAGAAGCTTTATTGTCTCAAAGAATCCCATGTCCAGCACAAAGCCAAATCCTATAGTGGACACACAGAGCCAGATACTTAACAGGACCAAGAAAGCAGGGTCATCTCTGGCCCACTGGTCCTTCGTCTGTTTTCGATAATGAAAATTTCTGTAAACTCTCTGTGGGGATGTGAACAGGTAGAGCATCTGCCAGGCAGCAAATTCAAGTCCATCTGCCGAAAGCGGAAAAGCCTTCTCAGATATTTGTAGCGTTTCACTCCGGCTGTGTGTCTTGCTGCATCCCTGGAATTCAAGACTCCGTTCCCCTGCACTGAGGAATTCACTGAAGTACTCGGTAACATCTTCCTGGAGTCCTGCTACAGCCTCGACCCGCGTCCGAACCAGCCCACTACCTCCTCCCAGCAGCCAGGTAGAATTAATTTTAGGCCAGTAAAGCTATCACGAACCAGGCTTCAAGAAGGTCTCTCTCTCTCTCTCTATATATATATATATATTTTTTTTGTAAGTTCATTTCATTTTGCTTTGTTTATTCCTTCAAACTTCTGCCCGAGGTCAGCATCACTCACCCTTCATTGAGGCTTCCTGAACTATGGAAGGGTCTGTTCCTCCCAGGAGAAGAAAGACAATGCAGGATTAAACAGATACCTACTTTAACAGCAAGTCTATACTCATGAAATGATTTGGTAGAATATACTGAAACTATTTAAATTAATTGTATTATGAAGTTTCACCAAATGTAGAAAATATTTCCTGGCGGGGAGGGGTGGTACCTCTGTAGTTTCCTGAGGAAGTCTATGCTGTGGAGTGTCCTCTGAGGAGAGGGCACATAGGTAGCAACTATTAGGTTGAGCCATACGAAATCATACCATTTGCCACTTTTGACTTCCGAAATGACAGTTTTACATGGCTCAATCTCATACATCTTCTAATGCTACCACGGTCTTCTATGGGTTATAGAGTCGTAGCATGGCCCCAGAGCTCTGCAGTCATAATGAGAGTAAAATTCTGCTGAAAACTTGTAGCTGTTACCAAAAAATTTTTTCTTTCTCATTTGCAAAGCTGCCATATGTCTTTCTTTAATTTAAAAACAAAGAACATGAAGCGTAGCTGCCACATGTCTGGCAGAAATCTGTTTATGCCTGGAATCTGCAAATATCAAGATGCCTCTTTACACTGACTGGCAAAAGCTGCAAAAGTAAAATATGTAAACAGAAAAGAACTCCATGCCTAGGCGAGTGCATACTCCAAAGAGTATTAATTTGCATAATAAATAGTTCAATATTCAGGAGATTATAAAATAGCAATTACTACGGAGTTGCTATATTAAGGCTTCTAACAAATAAAGACATTCAAAATGCAATAGTTTGCCTTTACAAAGAACTTCTCCCAACATCTGTATTTTGAAGCAAAATCTTATTTATTTTTTAAAGGGGTTTTAAATACTTTGCACATTTCTTTAGAAAAGAAGCAGAAATATCATAGCCAAAAAAATAATAGTGGTAAATAATCTATGGTTAAAAAAAGGAAATAAGCCATTAATGGATTTTTTTTTTTCCAGTTAAAAAATGTTATTGCAGGGGAGAGTGTGTTTCACTATCTGACAAGAGATTGGGAGACCAGTGGAGAGGTGTAGAATCAGACTGTGTCAGTAGTGGGTGGTACACTGCCAGGGGTAGGCACAGAAGTCATTGCATGTGAATAAACCATCGTCTAGTTATGCTAATGGTAAAGCAGATTTTCAAAAACACCATCTGTGGCTTTTTAAATGAATCAGGTGTTTCAGGTATTGTATATGCAAGTGCAGTTTCTACTTTCTTGGCATGCTGTAAGCATTTAACATTGGAAAAGAAATAGAGCTTTTGACGGTAGTGTATTTTTGCAATGAATATCATAATTTAAATGCTCTTACATGGAACTTCTTGATTTCTCAGTAACATTGGACTTAGAAATTTTTATGTATATGTTGCATTAACCACTTAACTAAATGTGCATTGATACTCTAAACCTTTTAAAAAAATCTTTGTTTCCTGCCGGAAAGAAAATGCTGTGATATGCAGAGAAGGGTCTGTGTATACCTGTTTATCTCAGAAAACCTATTAAAAGTAAGCCCTTGGAAATGAAATAATTGTTAGGCTAGTGGTTTCCCCAACAAGGATGGGAACTGGAAGGATGAGAAACAAGAAGACCGAGAAAACTAACAGTGGAAGACCCAGAAAACCAACATTCAATGAGCACCTTTTGGGCACTAGAAACTGTGCTGGAAAGTGGGACATTCAGTAACACAGTGCTGGGCTTACATTACACCAAAGAGTTGTAGACATCACAATAGCTCCAGGGTTTAAAACGCCCAACGTACCATCCAAAGGGACAATTTATCTATTGGTGTGTGGAAGAAGCCTGCTCTGATTAAGACTCCATAATTATCAACCCCATCTTATAAGGAGAGGCAATTCCAATAAAATTTTATTTTTTATATTTAATAATCTCTAACAATATTTTTGAAGTATTTAAATTGTTTTGTTAAATTGAATATTGCTAATACTTTCAATAAAAACTATCCAGATGGCTCTAATGCTTAGAGCCTCATAATGGCAGTCCATTTTTTAAGTTAAAAATTTCAGTGTATATTTTCGTTGTTGCAGAGACATATAATATAATCAATGAATGAAAGACTTTCAAATATTAAACACTTATTACGGTAAGATAAAATTGTATGCAAAAAGAGGAGTGGAAACACAATTTCAACAGGAAGAAAGCATCATGTAAAATTGGGAACTGTTTAAAATAATTAGTTGAATCTGGTTTTCAGTGATCCATTGGTAGATGTGAAATCACTATGGCATTTATGTTCCACTGAATTCATTGAAAAGAATGATAAAGTTGTATTTTAAAATGCCAATATTACATTCTTTGCAACTATTCTCACTTATGATTAATTTAAGATGTCAGCTTGAAATGTATGAGAGGGTACCTAGTTTTTCAAATTCAGTCATTTTTGTCCCTCCTCCTTTTATGAGTAGCCTCAGAAAAGATGTCTCTTGAAGGCTAAGATTTCAAAGAAGTTTAAACTTCAGGTTATCTTCTTTTGACTATTAAAAAAATTTTTTTTAAAATTTTTAGTACATTGCAAGGTGGATAAAGATATACATGATGTCTTCAGCCATTTCCATCAGCGACCCCTATGCTTGTTCTGCATTTGCTTACTGTACTTCAAGTCAAAGAGAGTGTCTAGCTCTATAATGGCATTTTCCAAGGATTTGATAATGATTTTTGAAAATTAGGCTGAAATATTCATCTGTTTATAGCCTGAAAAACCTTTTTGTTCCTTATGAAAACTTGCCTGCTTGGAAGCTCAGCTCATGACATTAAATCTTTCTTTTAGATGTTTATGAATGAAATTCCAGGCTTGTGGTACATTGTGTCCTTCTGCTGCCATGTGTCCTGGCTTCCTCTTGGTGACTGGGTGTCTCCTATTTTTTTTTTTAAACTAGACTGGGCTTTTCCTCCATTGTCACATGGGAAAAAAAATTCAGAGATGTCACTGCTATTGTTATAGTTTCCTTATCCTTCCAGGCGTCTCTTAAGGTCTTAGCCACTGTCAGTAGAATCATCTTGAAGTGACCACGTTTACTCCATATTACAAGATAACCAACACTTGGCCTTTATGTCCCTTACAACTCTTTTTTTTTTTATCTTAAAAAAAAATAGAGACAGTGTCTCACTATGTTGGGCAGGCTGGTCTCAAACTCCTGAGCTCGAATGATCCTCCTGCTTCAGCTTCCCACAGAGCTATGAAGGGCATGTTAGGTCGGGCATGAGCCACCACGGCTGACCCCCTCACAAGTCTTGATATTTCCAAATCTTCATGCTATATCCCATTTGCCAACATTTCCCACTTTGTCCCTTAAAATTACCATAGTCACTAGATCGATAAAAATTAAATAAAAATGTAAAGCTGTCAACTCCATAAATGTTGTTAGGTCTGATGTAACCTAGTCAGAATTATAATTCTGCTTTATTGCTAAGAGAAGTATAGGATGCCCTCACAAAAAAGTCTTTTGATCTCCTTGAATCATCATATAATCAGATTCTTACTCTGTGAAATAAACTTCATTAATTATGTTAGCAAGTTTAGCACATCTCCTGCCTTGTTTAGAAACTCCTGGGTTATGAATATGAGGATGATGTGATAGCATAATGCCAAAGAACGTGAAACATGAAGAAGGCAATGATATATCAAACACAAGTTTTCAATTAGCCCTGCTAAGAAGCTATGCTTCCCTTGCTTTCCACCACAAAGTAATGTCTGAGTAGATGTGGTGTAGACGGAACCGGAAGTGAGAATAGTGGCTGATGTTCCACTGGAATGCACTGGTAGCCTGTAAATTAAAATAATGAAACAATTTTGCACCCATTGGTGAGCAACCACTAGCCCAGCACCAAGTGCACTCACCACCACCTCTTTGCCTGAGCTGCCTCAGCGTCTCCTGGAACCCCTAAAACAAGCCTAGATCTGGGAATTAACAAAGTGATCCCAGGCAAGGCTGTAGGTCTCATGGATCCTGCTCTAGCATCTCAACCAGCACGTGTTCTGATCCGTCAGTACCTAGATCATCTAGTTGCCCAATATTTTAAATATATCCCTGGTTAAGAGTATCGTTTTAGACTCTCAAACTTAATTTTTGGCCCTTTGCCTTGTCCTTTCTTTGCAGAACTGTTGGACCCAATTTTTCACAGTTTGAGAATAGAAATAAACCCAGGGTTGATAGCATCTATTTGATTTATGCACATTTTAGTGCATTTGTTACTTGTTTCTTGGTTCTGTGTTTTATGATGGTGGTGTCACTGTTTCCCTACACCATAATTTCCTGGTGCACTTCACTGCTCCTTCATCACACAAGAAACTGTGAGGGTCAGTGATCTTCGGCGCCACCACTTCCATTTCCTCATTACAAAAATTGACCTTCTTTCTGTTGTTTGAAAGGGCTCAGGCCACTGTCATTCAGATTTCAGGACTGTTGAACAGTAATAACAGTATAGGAGGAACAGGCAACCAGCGCAGCAGCTGGGCATTGTGCTCTCTTCCTGGAATCCATTTTGGATCTCTTAGTGTAGCCAGCAGGCGCTGCCTGCAGCCTTTCCCCAGCGTTATATTTTGTAGTAATTCCCTACTTGTCATTAAATCATTTAGCTGCATTAAAGCATTGTACTCTACTCTGAATATTCGCCAAGGTTCTTGTGCTTTCTAGGCAATTTTGTGTTTATAACTCACGTCACTCAACTCAGTATGTACAACTAGCATCACAGAAAACTAAACTGGTCAGTAATTCCTGTTAAACTACCCACAGCTTTCTCATCATCTATGAATTTGGTGAGTGTATGTGTGTGGAAGGAGGACAAG